TCTTTCACCCCTTATTTTAAACCAAACACACCCTTCTATTGATTCTTAATCTTTAGATAAACTCTTTCAACTAATTGCCAGTCAGAAAATCTTTGAATCCACCTATGAACTGAGAGCCTGCCCATCTTAAGTTGTCCTGCCTTCCCAGACCAAACCAGTGTATACCTTACATGTATTGGTTGATGTCTTATGTCTCCCTAAAACATGTAAAAGCAAGCTGCAGCCCAACCAACTGGGACGCATGTTGTCAGGACCTCCTGAGGCTATGTCACAGGCATGTCCTTAACCTTGACAAAATAAACTTCTACATTCATTGAACCTGTGTCAGATACTTTTTGGCTTACAGTCATTTATGTAAATAATAAAACCAAGAGGATGAAAAAGACTCTCAAAACTTAGCTAATTTCTTCACCTAAAATAAATAATATAGACATTTATTTATGTAAAATTTTAGCAGCAGTGTCATCTTCATATGTAGACAGTAAGTTACTTCATGGTAGAAGATAAGATGCTTAGCCTGAGGGAATTTTCTATACAAAGAGAATAATCACTTAAAAAGGAAACATCTTAAAACAAATTTTAATCATTTTGTCTGGAAATACTATTCACTTACTTTATGTCTGTAAACATAGTTTAATGTCTTGAAAATTGTGTTAATGAAATAACATTTCATGATGAAAATAATGAAACTCTTACGAAAATAATGAAAATCATTACAAAAATAATGAAAATCCATTTTTTCCACAAGTATTCATACTTTGTAATCATATTTACCCGAGTACACTCTGTCATAGGCTTAAAATGTGGCTTTTCCACATTGGTAAAAATTTGCTAGGCCACCTGTATGTGGTTTGTGGCTCTGACTACACTGTGGTGCCCGCTTTAAGAGCAGCATGTGAGCTGCCATGCTACCATTTAAGTGAGGCTCCAGACTTGGGTAAAAGTTGCTTTCAGTAAGATAGGTTGGCATGTCTCTAGAGGATGTGACCATCTCTCCTTCTCAGTATGAAAAAGAGTGGTCAGACCATTCTGCTCAGATGCTGAGTGCCACAGGATGCTAAGGGAATGGTGCAAGTACTGTGGATGCTTTTACAGAAACGAAGAGACTGCCTACTATTTTAAGGCCGCCTAAGTGATTGCACAGTGATTATTGCCAAGACTTTCACATTTTTTATTGTGTCATCAAAAATTGTAATGTCATCTATGTTGACACAAAATTTGGGTAGCAATTGTTAAAATACTTGAGAGGCCATTAGGCTGAGATGGCCCCAGAGCCCTTTGTTTCCTAGGTAAACAAATCCAACCAAGCCCAATTCAACATAAACAGTAGAATAAAAATTAAAAACACACACACACACACACACACACACAAACCTTTACCAGTCAGAAACCACCAACTAGCCCAGGGACTTTCCAGTAGATCATACTCAATTAAGACAAATACATAACTGTAGCCAATCAAGTAATCGCGTTGCTTTGCTTGCATGTTCAGCCTATAAAACCCCACATCTCTTGCTGCTAGAGGGAAATTCTCTGAACCTCTTCGGGCTTTGAATGCTATCCAATTCATGAATCCTTTAATGTTCAAATACATTCTGTTGAATTAATTTTGTCTTAAATTTTCCTTTTTATACAACTCTCTCCTTTATTTTCTGTGGGTTGGAAAAACAGAGTAATAATTTTATTAGAACTGTGTGCAAAGTAAGTATGTGTTTGCCCTGAGTGAAGCAAAGAGACGGCTTACTTCTTATTAAAAGTGCTTTCCTACCAAGGCATGAAAAATACTTTAAAAAGCATTTTCATTTACTTCTGGGTCCTTTACTGCACTCCAAAAAGCTGAGTTTGCGTGACAGTACATATTAGATAAGAGAGATGTTAGGAAAATTGACTTCAGCAATTTTACATCTTGCCTCACACAAAAGGCTTGGATGCACCAAATTTCCACAATGTAAAACCCTTGCAGGCCGGG